AAAAGCTGGCTCCGAACTCGTTTACAGCTTGGCTGGAAGTTGGGAGCTGCTGGCTCTGATCGGCGCCGATGTCATCCGGCGAGCTCTGCAGATCCTGTAGACGCAGCGTGCCTTGCAGAGCGGCACCAAGAGCAACCGCTTCCTCGTTCTGATTGTCGGCTGATAGAGCGTCGTCGCCCGAAAGCACGCCCAGTGGTCCAGAACAGAGGCTGGACGAAATGGTTGCCTCGATACTACCCACACAACCTGAGGAAATAGCGCAAAGTAAAATGTGACAATTTTGATAATGCACTAAACCACCGGAGAATAATTTTTGCCGATTTACTTCAAGACTATTGAAACCATTATTTTGGACAATAACATTAATTTTGTGAAAGTCATTAAATTGTGTGAAATTTTATCGAACTTGAAATATCGCGGCTAATTTAATACGTTGTTGAAAATAGAAAGAAAGTTTTCTTGCAATAAACACAGGAAAATAAGTATATTTTAAAAATAATTACAACATATAAAAAATTACATTACATATTATGGAAAAAGAAATAGAACTTTATTACGTTAAAGTCAGAAAGCATTGCATCGGATAAATTTCACATTGTGCGATCGCCGTATAACAGATTGTCATCGGAATCAATCGATGCTTCACAAATGTAACTCGAAAAGTCGCAAATAATTGGTAAAAACTGACACATTGTTTTATAGAAATGACTTTGTCCTGTTCCTACTTTAACACACTCACTTGGGCACCTATCTACCAATCAAATTGGAGAAAAATATTTTATACAAGAGTTCTAGAGAATAAAAATTTTCAAAATTTCGCATTTTATCTGATGACAATTGAACAAATGATGCAGCTGTCGTTTCTCACAAGTTTCGAACTGTTATTGCCGATCGAACAATCAGCAGTCAACAGTGCTGTTATATCGTGCAAACCGTACACTGCGAAACTATCACCCGCGTTTCTTCGTCGTTTTCGCGTAATCGTTGTTATGGGGTGTGGAGGACCCCGGATCTCACCTGTGCCGAGGGTATACGGCGACTCGGAGGTGTTGACCGCGTGATGATTCTGCAGAAACTCCATCTCTGCGAAATTTCCGACAGCGGCCTATCCCCCGGATGCACACCCCTGCGCCGACTCACCCCTCCTTTTTGCAACCCTCGCCTCCTCTCCCTGTGGAGACGTGTTACTGCTGCTGTTGCTCCTGCTGCTAGTCCAGCCCTCTTTGGTTGTCCTGGTAACGGCGCGCAGCTTTATCGCAAGCCGCCGCTCGCCATCGATGCTGTATTTTGCGATACAAGATAATAATACCGAATAAGTGAAGTTAAGGAATATCTATTACTTTCTTTAAACGTGGACGTGAATTTGATCGAATATATCGCAAAGGGTTCGTGAGTCGATGAGTCGAAATTATACGTTTCTTACTTGGAGAAAGAAGGCCTCTTCAGCTAAAATTGATTTAAGAATATTTTTATTCCTTTTTTTATTGTTATTATATATAATGATACTATTGATTTTATAAAATTAAAAGATTCCATCAAACTGCTAAATTTATAAACGGAACAAAATTTGAGAACATTGCAAAAATTTACATGGAGATTGTGATAGAATAAAATTTTTCCAATTTTTAACATTTTGCAAAAATGCTGTTAGAGACAAATGAAATAAATTTAAATCTGCAGAAAATGGAAGCACGCATACATTTGTTTTACATAACAGTGAATAACTAAGGTAAAAAATATTGTGGTTTCTTTTTTGTTAAATAAAGATACTAATTATTCATAGTAGAAGAATCATGATCATCCATTCAAAAAAATCAAAATCACTCTTTTTTCTATAAAAAAAATAAGTTTAATATATCGAACATGAAAATTTTTGATTGTTTCGCCTTAATTATTATACATTCTACATTACATGTATTTATGAGGAAGCATTTTGATTGTATAGCGATAAATGCAATGTTTTTAAATATTACACGAAGATGAACAATTAATCTCATATATCACATGTAACGATTATATTAACATATTTTAATTTTTATAAAAAAAACTTTGTTAATTTCAAATATTACTTTCTTTTATTTTCGAGAAATTTGAACTAATTTTAGCAAATTGTTCTCTTTTAATACTGATCGTTGAAAAGTTATTTATACAGTTTCTACGAGAAGACTCTTTTATTTTTGAATAAAACAATGTTTTTAATTTTTTGAATATTCTGCTATTTCAAATTACACTGTTTTAACATCGCGTGATTTATACGCAATAATTTCGTGTAATGAACGTTATCGTTGGACCGCGGAATGCCGTCGCGAAAATTCGCGAGATAAATCGATGAATGACTTTTTATGAATGACTGTATGAAGGAGAAGGAAAATACACGTGCATACGGCTCGCCACGCGCGTATAGACGTACCTTTATGGCTTGGAAGACCTGCCATTCCCCGCTAGAGGCTTCTGCAGAAAACCTGTCGTCGGATATTCCCATTCAGAGATCCGCGATGCCTCCATCTTCCCATATGATCTTTACACCCACTATTCTTCACCAGAAATCTTTATTCTTATTAGCCGCTCGCGATGTCGAATTTCTCTTCTATTATCAAAAAACCGTTTTTATGTTTACTTGTAATATAATTTCTTTAAATTTAATGATTCGTAAATTACTTTAATAATCACGGAATTTTTTGCGTGTACACTTGACGAAATGGTTATTTCTTATTTTACTTTAAAGTGAATCAAAATTTCTAGTACGCGCAGTTTTTCTCTGTTACTTTTTGTCAATCGAATTTCTTTTTATGCGACGCATTACATATTTCGCAATTATATATATATGTGTGTGTGTGTGTATGATTGTCAGCAATATGGATCATTAAAGAAACTGCAAGTAAATGTGAAAACGGTTATGTCTTACATAATTTTGTTTTTCTTTTTACGTTTTATATCTTACTTGTATATTTTATTATTTTATATTTTCTTTTTTCTAATTTTTTCTAATTTTTTAAACACTTTTAGCGAAAGAAATATATTTGAGAATTGAAGTTTGGAACTAGGATCTAAAATTGTAACTATAGATCAAAAATTCTCTTGAATTATCGATATATTTCATATTATAATCATATACTTTTGATTATTTATCATGATTTCTTTTTACTATCACATATTGAATTATCATTCGTTATTTATTCGTTTATTTCACAAGTTTCTCCCGCACTCTTCACAACTTCACATTTAATCTAAAAACCTTCATGTGAACATAATCAACATTGCAAAAAACTTGCCCCTTGCACTTTTAGTGACATTGGAACACTTTACAGTTCTGTGTCTTTTAAGTCGAATCTAATTGTTAAATTATTTTTAGATTAATTTTTTAAATGAATTATTTAGTTGAGAACTGATGACGACTGATAAAATTCACCGCACACAATTTTCTGCTTTGAATTTGAATAACTTTTGATTAAACTTTGACCGATTAAATTGTAGTGCGACGGCGAGCGACTCTTGGAAACACTAACTGCCATGCTGGCGGGATGGCATGTCAATGTCTCTTGGCTAACTAGCGATCTACCACCTATCCACCACCCACACTCTCACCCCTTGGAACGGCTCACTGACTACGTGCGTACCATCCAACCCCACTCCACTCTCTGTTCCTTTTTTTCCCTCCCTCTATTTCTGTCTTCGTCTCCCTTTCTCTTCTTTGCTCGTTTCTTCTTGCATCGACCCGTGTACCACACATCGAGTCTTATGTATCCTTATTTGTGTAAAAATGACATGTAAAATATAATCAGACAGCATAATACATCTTCCACCGTTTTGAAAAAGCAATGTTTAAAAATTTAATTTTTAATCAGAATTGGAAATATTCCTAAAAGTGAAAAAGGTACAATTAGATACGATAAAGTATTGTATAAAAAATATGATAAAAAATTTTTTTTTCTTGTTTCGGCAAGATGAATCTATATTAATATATTTACATAATTCAATCGAGCTACCACTGGGTAGTCAAGGAACACGCGTTGCCACGATGTTGACGCCGATGACACGAGATACTAATCGCTCATTCAGCGATCATCGGCGATCGGCGATCTTCCTCGCGCTTCGGCTACATCGATGATACATCCTAGCTGACTGGGGAAGGGAGGTATTATATTTTCTCCAGATATATACCATTACCGCGCGCCGATCACGGTGGTCCTGCTCTCCGATACCCCTCGTCGGGATCATCGGCTTGTAATGCCTTCCTTTTCGTGGATTATTGACCAGTCAACGGTGAGCCCGGCCGCGAAAATACGCATTCTTCTTGATATGCAAAGATCTTGCCTCTTCCTCAAAGATTTATTAATTCAACACATTGGTTTAATCTTATTTTACCTGCGACAGAGAAGTTCAATAACGACATCATTTCTAAATAAATTTTACAAGTCAATTTCTTTAAGTAAACATATAATAATAATTAATAACATATAATTATGTCATGATAATATGATTATGAAAGTTTCATCACTATATGTCTCAAATTTGTTATCGATTTGCGTACTCATCGTGCGTGTTGATCGTTGCACATCCTTGACGTACGTGCATCCGACTATCGAGTATCCATGTAATCGCGAGTACCGAATGGCGAGTATAGACCGGACACCTGACTGCGTAGTTCCGATATACGTACAGGAAGAGGAAGTCGACCGCACGAGCACGGCGCACCACCACTGTCACCATTGTGTGTCATCGTATGGCAAGGGGTTAGGGTGAGGATCGTGTTTTCGGCCTACTCTTTCGAAATTAATCATCGATATACATATACAAAATGTTATCCGCCTGCTTAATGACAGATTTTTTACGAATTCAGAGTTGATCTTCTATTCAACATCAATGTCCAAAAAGCAATCTGGGTTTTGAATAATTATCACTGGATCACTAAGGTCTTTGAGAGAAAAATATATATCTTTATCAATTTATACATAAAACTTAGCGATATCAATTTCTCACGCATGTAAATAGATAATAGAAGAACGTTTCTTAATTTATATCGAGTAAATTTTAATGGAATTTGTTTGGCAAAAAATGTGTATTTCATCAAAAGTGTAAAGCTACGTGCATTTAAAATATCATGTGGATCAATAAAAATCGATAAAGTTGATAGAAAAAATTAATCAACCAGAAAAAAGAGATTATAATAGCTTCATTGTATATGCACAGTTAGCGCGTTATAAGAATAACAGAGAGAAGACGATAATGAGGAATGAGGGAGAAAGCGGATCGCATAGATGGGCCCAGGTCCCGTGACACGTCGTGTGTACAACCTGGGTATTGGTTTACACTTCCAGCCGATTGGACCCATGGTATTTACACAGGACCTTGTAGAAAATTGCTCCTTTTTCCTTCAGGATACGCTACTCTGAGAAACTGTAACGATCAAAGTTTTTATTTAATTAATGCCAGCCACACGAAACGGCTTTAAAGCTAATTAAGCATCAAAGAAAAAAGAAGCGATTAATCACATTACCCTCTGGAAAGTTATATGAAATTGGAAAATTTAACAAAAAAGTCAAAAAGTAATTTCAAATGTAATTATATCATTTATATTATGTAACTATAACATTGATATTAAATTTTGAAAATAAAAAGTTATGATTGAAGTATGATTTAAATTAAATCAAGAAATTAATAAAAATTAAAAAGAAATAAGACAAAACGTAATAATAAAATTTAAAATAATTAATTTTGTTTAAAATGTACACGCAATATTTTTATTGTAATATTTTATTGAAACCACAATTGATGAGTTCGCTTCTCAAATTTGCTTCGATGACTATTCAGTCACCCTATTCTCCCCCTTTCTCACCCCCTTATTCGAATTGTGAATCCGTAGAATACTGGTACAGCGGGTGAAAGCAACGAAAGATACGATATCAGATTGGGTTTGGACGCACCTGTGTTTGCTTACGATCGAAATCAAAGAAGCGATTAAGTACCATTATAAATCATGCAAACAAACGCGCGAATTTAATCGCATCCTCGTCCTTGTACGCGCGTTCTTTTCGCAACAACCACGTGCGCATATACGATCATGGATATTTAGGAGAATGAAAATCATCTATCTGGATACGCGGAAATATAGATACAATTTATAAGTTTCAGCAAATATTTTGTTAAAGAATAGTTTGCTTGTTGAAAACAAACGCATTTATTAGAAAAAAATAAATAAATAACAAATAGAAATAACACTAAGCTGAAAATAAAGTTACGGCTATCAGCCGACAATTGTTTCCACCGACGATTATGCATGTCAGAAATAACGTGCGCGTCTCAAGTTTCTTAATTTGGAGAAAGGGTTGGCGACGAAACGGCAGAGAAGGCTACAACCGAATGGCGCATCTGCCTGCGAGGAGCCGGCTAAGAAAATAAGGCGGGAGAATCGTCGTCGTTAAGGGAATATGATTATACACGTCGTAAGCGTTTCCCTCGGATTAGGGATATGTCCATCGTCCACCTACCCTGATCCTACTGTAGACGGTTCATTCGTTCGAATAGCCGATTGAATTACACGCGGCGCGTGCCAGCCGGCCGCATGCAGCTCGTACTCGTTCGTACGCGACCGATCACACCTAAGTACCTAATAAAGCCACAATCCTATCTCATTCAGATTCGAGAAGCGATAAAAAACCCTCCTGTCCTCTCTCTCTCTCCTCCCCTCTGTGAAAAACGATCGAGAACGAGATCAGAAATTGAAGATGCGTTTTGATACAAAGAACATAAAATCATATAAAGAAAATAAAATCACGCAGAGAACGCATCTAAAAATCTGCACGTAAAAGATATTAATAATGCCCTAATGTAATTACATGAAAGAATAATATTACGTATAAGCAGACGAAAGAGAAGTGAAAAATTTTTATCTTTAAATCCGCTCCATCTATAAATTATGATAAATTTCCTTGTTCAATTTTCAGTCAAAAGTTTGATCTTTAGATGACTTTAAACTTTTAATTCTGTAATGGTAGGCGCTAAAGTAATAGAGTTTTATTGTTTGATTAAATATTTTATACAGATTAATTTTTAAATATACAGTATTAGAAAAAAATGTTTGGATAGAAGATGTGAAAATATAAAAAAAATTGAAATTATACTTTGTTCGATAAACTCTCCATCGATTCGTGTAATTTTATAAAATGCATATAAATGCAATACAAGTGCTTCGGATAGGATACTTCTGCGCATCGGGGAATATATCTCGCTGTGAAAGAGTGTTGCCGTTGCGTATGCCACAGACTTAATTAAGTAACCGTGATCAAAACGTTTATTGCAGCCGCACAAGGGATAATCCGCAATCGCTTGCTATCTTGTCAGGCTGGATCTTTAATCACGAACGATTACCGTGGTTGCTGTCATCTCCCGATGCGGTTTAATCACTCAATTGTGAATGGCCGTGGTCATTCGATGAAATACCGATTTATGCAAAATGTAAGAATGCAAAATGCCTGACCAAGTCGTCTCTCTCATCTATGGATTTTTTTATTTAACAGCTTACACCTTAAGAAACTGATGCTATTCTAAAAATGGACGTAATCTCTTATTAATTTAGTAATATTAACGTAGTGTGTGTTAACAAATCAACAAGTTTATTCAGCGTCTTTTTTACTTTGAAATTTTGTATGCCCTGTTAAGTTGTTTCATATTCTTTTTCTTTCAATTTTCACGAAATTTATTGCTGGAAAATTATCAGGCTGATTCGGAGGAATGTTAATCAATTACATCTACTTGTTCATCTTACATTTTCACAAACGACTTAAAATTTGCTTTTGAAACATAAAGATTATATAATTATATAGAAGGTTTTGTATATGAAAATTTAAAGAAAAAGAATATGAAACAACTTAATGGGGCATACAAAATTTCAAGTAAAAAAATCGCTGAATAAACTGTTGTTGATTTATTAACATACACTACGTTAATATACTTATTACTAAAGTTTTGATATATGTATATATGAACTCTTTTAAAGTTTGAGAGGCTAAAAACACACATTACAAAGCTATGGAAAACCTTGGGAGATATCTTTGATTTTACATAATCCCAATTTTTTTCAAAGTATGAATTCAAAACGCTTTGAAATAAGGTCTTTGTTTAACAGATATTTAGCTTTATATATCAATATCGAGTGGTTTATCAATTAGTAATGTCAGTTACTAGTAGAGTCCTATGATTCTACTTGGTATCAGGTCGACGATGCCGAAATTGCTTTAGAGTATTAGTTCGCCAGAGAGCGAGGGGTGAGGAGGAACATACAACAACCCCCAAGATGGCTGCTGACTACTCGAGAGCCGGCGTATCGACGTTTGGCGTTTGCGAGGTTTCTCGGAGGTAAGCTCATCGGGAATTGCGGGTCTTCCCACCCCTGTCGCTTCATGCAACCCCTCACCACCACCCTTACCGCCACCGCCGCCGTCGCCGCCTTTGCCGCTCTGCGACCGCCTTCAAAACAAAGAAACACACGTAATTGAATTTTTGCTCGAGCGAGCGCAAATTAATGTGCGAGCCGTTGTCGCAGCTGCAATCGCGGCTGCAGCTGCATTATTGATTATTGATAGGATCTCTCCCAACTCTTCTATATACTCAAACGAAATAAAGAGAATTTTCGTTTTTCTTTCTCTATTTTTTTGAATCTTGATCAGAAAAATTGTCAAAAAGTTTTTGTAATATTTTTAGTCGGTCGCGTTTAATTCATATAAGTAGATTAAAGTTTACATCGTGATGTAATTATATTGCAAGAATAATCTTAATAAAAATTGATATCATTAAAAAGACAACAAATTTATCAGAATGACAAAAAGTAAAAAAAAAAAAAAAAAAAAACTACGAAAAATCAAAGAAAAATGTGAGGAATGGAATTTTTAATATTCATGTTTATAACATTCATAAACTTTATTCTTCATAAATAGCAGTATTGTCTAAAATTCTATTACAATCCACAGTAAACCAATTGTATATTTAATATTTGCTAGCAACAATGGATTATATTCACTGAATAACATTTTTAAAAATATGGTAGATATTTTCTTCGAGAAATTCCCATTTACAATTCAAAATATATATATATATAGTATATCACATATTTCGTATATTTGATATATGTTTATATTAATTAATTAGCCATATTATCTGAAATTATCGTAAATCAAGAAACAATCTGTAAAAATAATAGTGTACCAATAAGTCTTTCTGTAGTAACATATATTTTTTTAAGGCACCTAGAAATGTGTAATGCTGTGTCTTTGCTAAAAATAAAAAAATAGTTTTTTACAATATATAATACCTCATAATACCTATAAAAAATATATGTACATTTATGTAATATCATCGCAGTAATTTATCTATCACCTTTTATATCCATGTCGTATTTTATATATGTATTACATATATAGAATATATATTCTACATAGCACATATTGTATAGAATGTAGAGTACGATGTCCTATATATGAAATAAATATGGTATGGAATAGATGCATTTCATATTTTACTTCATATTTTATATATATATTTTCCATTTTGTTTATAATATAAAATTCTATTGATTTATTTTCAACTGATTCCTACGTAGGTGTTTTCGGGATGTATATCACGCAGCTCCTAAAAAAAAATTAATCAATAATTATTTAAAACTGAAATAGAACATTATAACTATATACGAAGCTATTTACGAAGCTACATATAATTGTAATTGTATCAAGCTTTAATATTAGTGGAATTAAAAATTGTATTCTTCTCTATATAGAATTATAAGAAAAAGAAATAGAAATCATGTAATTAAATCATTAAAAAAAATATGGATTTAAAATGCTCAAAGAAGAAACTGTCCATTCTATATAAATCACCATTCACGCAAGATAAAACGTACGTGTAACATTTGATAGTGATTAGTCTTCGCCTCCTCCGTTTCTTCTTTATTTGTTTCATGATTTGGTAGCATCGATAATCCGTTTATATCTTCTAATGGTCCAAAAGTCCATCCGCCTTCTCCATCAAATCTTAGCAACAGTTTATGATACTTTGCAAGCGATGCCACTCGATGAGTGATGGTTAACAAGGTGATTCCTTTCTTTTTTGCGGTTTCGTACATTATTCCTTCAGCTTCGAGGCTGACAGCACTCGTGCACTCGTCTAATAAAGCGTATTGTGGTGCGTGATAAAAGAGTCGCGTCATCGCAAGCCGCTGTTTTTCACCACCCGATAGAGTAGAATCCCAATCGCCAAGAGCGTCAAAGCCTTTTGGTTCTCTTTCTACGAGACTTCGCAGATCCACATCGTCTAGTAGCCGTAGCAGTTCCTCATCGGAGCAATTCTCTGACCTATAAGAATATGAACTAATGTACATCTCTCTCTGATTCGTGTAATAAAAACAATTAAAAACAAAAATTCTTTTTATATAAAATATAAAAAAGTATAGACAAAGGAGTATATATATATTAAATATAAAAAAGTATAGACAAAGTATAAAAAAAAAAACATATAAACAAGTATAAAGTTTTTAAATTATATATTAGAAATTAATCACACAATTCAATCTGCTTTAATTTTAATCAATTCAATAATTTTATTTAACCTATCATTATCAGTCAACAATGTGAAAGATTATTGCTTGTAGCCCAAGTTTTTTCTCTCAGCACTCGTAGTTAGAAATTTTCTTTTTTATCAGATTTCTTATCCCTAGAGAATACGATATCACGCTCTTATTCAACGTCGAATAAAAAAATTTGATAAAAAAAAACGTAATAGAATGTTCAAGACCGAGAATAATAATCCACCTTGACATCCTTTGCAATGAATAAGTTTATCTTTTCTCAGTTTTAATTTTTTAATGAGTTAATTATAAAATATATGAACCTGGAGTGTGTCGGATAGATAATTTGATCTCGAAGGCAACCCACGGTCATATAGGGCTTCTGCGGAATATAAAATAAAGCGGGTCTGCCGTGTTCAAAAGAGTTCCTCTCGGCTGGTCTGATGAGGGTTCCATCGTAGACGGGCCAGAGACCGGATATGACGCGGAAAAGGGAGCTCTTACCACAGCCGTTGGGACCGGTGATCAGAAGATGGTCACCTGGTTTTATCTGTAAATCATAATTACATAAATAAATATGGTAAATATAAAGATAGTAGCATAAGAGCAGAATATATTTATCATAATCTCTGTTACAACTTAAATGTAATAAAAAATAGAATTTAATAAAATAAAAGTTAAGAGTAAAAAGAAATATAGTAGGAGCAATAAAATATACAATAAATGCAATAAAAATTACAAATATATGAACACATATTTTTCTCGATATTTGAAAGTTGGCACAGCCGACTGTACGGACATTTGAGATATTATAACTGGTTACTTACATTGACTGTTAAGCTAGGTACGATAACTTCGCAATTAGGCGTGACTATCGGTACATTGATTAAGCTTATACTGCCGTCCATGCTTTCACGAACAATTCCTTATTATAAACATAAAATCACATAAAAAATAATTGTAAGAAACTTATAACAATAATTAAATTATATGGATCATTAAACTAAATGTCTTTAGATGAAAATTAATAAACTAATTAAAATAATAATAATAATTTTAGTGGACTGTTATAGATTGGATTAAAAAAAATTACGAAAAAATCAATATTCAATTATTTAAATTTCGTCATAATAAAATATAATCTTATTTAAATTTTATAACTTACCTTTAATTACTGGAGTTCCATTACTAAATTCGATTATTTTTTCTGCAAGTTGTTGAGCGTTACCATTCGAAAGAGATCTCGAAGTGCTACCGACGACGTTTCTCTTGTATTTGCAGAGCGCAGCATCTCTAAACACGTCTAACATTTCGCTGACACGCGCTGCGTATCCCGCCAACGCAACCAATTCCTATTTTAAGAAAAAAATTGATTTACGAAAAAATTCAAATAAAAACAAAAGAAATTGTAAAAATTAAAATGCGCACTTTATAAGAAGACATTAATCGTTCAACAGCATCTGCTCCAGAGCTCAAGAGATTTTTTGAAGTGGTCAAGTATCTCGTTCGCTCACTCACTCCACCTAATTAATAGACATAAACGCTCGATATTAATATTGTGTTGCTCTACAGTTGCACAAGATTGTAAAGTTTGTTCTATATAATGATAGTAATATATATATAGGTATATAATATATTACTATCATTATATAAAATATAATATTAAATATGAAAATGAGGGAAATTTTTCTATTAATTTATAATTTACAAATTACATTATTATTGCTATTTGCATTGTGTTTGCATGCAAACTATTCTATTTGAAAATTTCGTCATCGTACGTACCATCGCCGTCCGCGTTAATCATCTTGCCTCTTGATGACGTAACTGTGTTGTAAAGCAATGGCATGGCGATAACGAGAAGTCCAGTGCCGGACCACACGTATTTCATGAGAAATTGCTCCAGCATCACGTACCAGAGCTTGACGGCGAGAATGCGCTGCAGATGTGTCACCAAGGACTTATAAGCGGAATTCAGATAACGATGTTCCGTATCGTGTCCACCGTAGAATGCAATTTCTTCTGCATGGGCACTGATACGAGCGTGAGCTTCTCTCAATTTTCCACGTCGCGCTGCTTCTTCGGCGACCAAGTGGCCAAACTTTGGTGAAGTGAAACGTAGAACTTGCCCAGTTAAAGCAATTACCACTGCCGCTAATAACGGTCCTGTAAGTAATAAAACATTAAAGTTTTTAGAAATATCAAGTGAAATGTATGTCTCAACAATATATATATATATATAATAATACTATAAAAGTTTCACCTGGTATTGTCCTGGCGCCCATTTTGTGTGAGAACGAAATAAGCGCGATGCCGACTAAAGCACAATCTAATAGCGGTTTAGTTAAACTAGAATATAGATGCGCTACGGAACTGGCTAGTTCGGACAGATCATCCGTCAGTCTTTGTTCGGCACCACCGAGTCTAGTGTCTAAAGCTGATACTCTATAGTAAGTCTGCTGACTCAGGTACATCTTATAGGCATGCTTCACCAGACGTTCCCTGCACAAACAAACAAAAAGGATTATATTTTGTTTTATTAATCTAATGGCGAGAGAAACATGCTATTAATAATACACGAAAAAAATGAATCAAGTGCAATATAACGCGATAGAAAATTGCAGAAAAAAATACAAAAATGCAGAATTCGAGATGAAAGAGTGCGGCCAAGCGCCCATAGACGTTCCGCCTCTATTTCGTATCTTAAATATTTCAATAAATGATACATAGATATTGAAGCTTAGGATGGGTAGAATAAGAATCTGAAATCTTAGTAATACTCTCTCAACTGTTTTGGAGAAAAACGTTCCAAAAGGATTTGCAATCTCAATAGATGGCCAAACTAACGCGTGACTTGAACTTTGTGCGTTATCTGCTCGGCTCAAGTTCAAGTTTATTTACACAGCAACTTGTGTCATCTTTCTACAATTTTTGCTTTTACTTAACATTTATAATTAAAGTAAAATCAGCTGACAACGTGCAAAGTTCACATCCCGCGCTAGTATGACCAATGGCGGCCATCTATTGAGATGACAGCCTTTTGTCTGAGAGGATAACACCGATACCGAGATTTTAGATTCTTATTCTACTCGTCTTAAGCTTCAATTCTATGTATCACTTATTGAAATATTCAAAATAGGAAAATTTCAATGAGAAAGGAGCTGGAACTTGGTCACACTCTTTATAATTTTTTGTGCTAGGTCACACATTAAAAAAATTAAGATATGTACAGAATATGTATTTTATATCTATGTTTTTCAATTCTGTAAATGTTTTTTACTATACAAAATTAAAGATAGAAATCTATAATCTATAATACAAAATTATAGATTTCTATCTTTAATTTTGTCTCGATCATAAATTCGTCAAATTCAATTCATCAGTTATAACAATAATTTATTTCAAAGAGAGAAAGAAGGCAAGCCGAAGATTTAAGAAGAGACTTTCTCATGTGCGATCTTCAATATCAGAAGGTGAACGAACGGTAATATTGTGTCTCAAAAAACAAAGAAAACATATCTAACTAAATAGAATGTTAAATATTGTGATCAAAATATTTGTAAACTTTCGAATGAAATAATTTGTTTCTAATACATTTATTTGTATTTTTATTAGTAAGAAAAACATTTTGTGATCGAATTGGAAACACATTCTGTACAGTTGCATTTCCTACACTTTGTTTCCTTCTCTTTTCATATTTCTCTTTCTCTTCAAACATCTCACCGCAAGATAACGGTTAAGAAGATATAGATAGTTTCACAATCAGTCATACTATCGCCAGTCTCTTTTCCTCATTAAGTTCGTTTTAAACAGAGAAGATAATAAAATGCAGATAAAACGAATGTTTCTGTTTGAAAGAGAAGAAACAGCTAAGAAACTGAAAAAGGACAACTGGAAAGCAATTAATCACGTGCTAGAGCTTTGATAATGGAATGTAAAAAAGCAAATAAAAAATAAATAGTAAGAAATAAATAGACATCCGCTGATTTAAATGTTAGAGAAGACGGTGCTGAGGAAGAGCGGAAACACACACCTAAAGCTAAGTGCCAGTCGACCCTCGAGGTATCTGATGGCGGAGTTGACGAAAGTGGCCGGCAGGGCGATGGCGAACCATCGCGCGAGCATCAGCCCGAAGCCATGTACGTCGCGCAACACTATCCTCTTCACGATTTGACCCTCCAGCTCGGCCACGTACACCGACAGGAAGGTCCTCGCCAACAACGTCAGCGTCGCGCACGCCAGCAAACCCGCTTCTCTACTCCGCCATCCCGGCACCATGATCTTCAACAACATGATCAGCTGTCGAAGAAAATCGCGATCCAATCCAACCGATAATTTTGATTTCTTTCTGCCACTTTTGGTGTTTCGACCAGGAGGATTATTCGGAAGAACGATGTCGTTTTCATCGTGTTTCGATTGAGACGGCTGATTTTTCTTCTGGTATTGTTTGAGGCAGGTGAGGATGTGCGGATAAGCAAGTTTGAGGAGATACAATGTCGTAGCGGCACCGGCGACACCGCGCGTCAGCGTTTCTTGTCGCACGCCGTAGCGCGCGGATGCGCTGTCAATCAGCTTCGAGAACACCGACGACATCCTTCGTCTTTGTCGTATATCTTCGTCGGGAATTAGCGAATTTTAATAACGTGCATCCCGCGCCACTACGAAAATCACGATTACGACGGCGATAACGGCGCATCTACGACTCCGCTTTGCTTCGCTGCACGCCTTCGTCGTACGACGTCGTCGCAATACGCGCTATTTTAGAACCGAGCAGAAATGAAAGAGAAAGAGAGAGAAACAGTATCTCCTGATTACACACACACACGTGATTACGTGAACGCACGCGCGTGTGACCGCTTAGATCGGCCACCAGCTGGCGACTGAACGCTTGCTCTCGCGCGATACCCCGCGATTCCCCCACCGCATCCCGCGACAGCTACGTTTTCGCGTGCGATCCTTTTGCGCGATTGCTTACAATTCTTACCGCTCTTATACTCTGCATTGCTAAAACGAGTTAAACTTTCTTGTTCAAGATACAATCTGTGGCGAAATAACAAAAGTGAATCGACTTTTTTGCAAGAAATTGTCAGATTGTGAATTATTGGAGAACAAGCTTTTTAAATTTCCAGAATTTTTGCGAGTTTGAAGAATATCAATAATCTTAACAGTTCTGTCAATTTTATGAATGCTAAGAATGCAAATTTTACCGCTAATAACAAATTTTTGTAGAATTTTTCCTTAATTTGTTTAGACATTAATATTTTTTACTTGATTATATGTATATTGGAAAACGTTTAATTTATAAGAATGTTGATAAGATATTTGATGTTTGATATTTGATAATATGTCAAACCAATATTATTTGTCTTGAGATATCCTTCTTCAACTTTGTTTTTGTATTAAATGAATGACGCACTGAATATATTAAATGAATGACGCACTTGCACAAACATATAACACTCGAGATACGATGATAATTATTCGTTACAATTCTTATTAAATATTATAATGATAGAGTGACACACACACACACACACACACACACACACACACACACACACACACACACACACACACACACACACACACACACACACACACACACACACACACTCGGAGCTATTGCTCCGTTTTTGCCATCTGCTCAAATGTCTTCTTGGTCAAAAAACCTCACATTTATATAAAACGAGAATATAGGCCGGAGACTCAACTGCGTTCTTACATGATGCGTTTGGACGCACTTACAATTGGTTATAGTATAACTGCAACGATAGTTCGCATTGCGCTATCGGTCAACGCTCCGGTCTGATTCACAGCTGATCGCATCCTCATTTTATTTAGGCCGTATTTTACTAGTACGTCATGTAGAGAGCTATTGTTTAGATCTTGGCACTTTGTAACAGATACACGGTATATCGAATAATCAAATGTTGTGAAAAGAGAATTAAAATTAAAATCTAATATTCTTGAAACAACAAGCTGATAGAGCAGGAGCTAGTTATAATTGCTCAAATTTTTCATTTATTACAAAATAATCACAAATACAGACATTTCGGCCTAAACGACGCCATCTTCAGTGTAACAAATTAATATAAATAATGTCGTCGCTAGTCGGAAAACGTTGACAAGATAATCAGAATATAGACATATTCTCAGGCAATACTTATGATTTGGATAACGCATCCTTTTTTTAACACGGATTGTACATTTTTTCATATCGAACTTATGTGAAGCCAAGGAACATCTTAGTAGGTCCGTTAGACATGTGTATCAAACAAATAAAGTAAAACATGCGTCGACGGCAGTGAGTCGGGCTTGACTGAAATTTAAGCAATTATAACTAACTCCTGCTCTATCAGCTTGTTGTTTCAAGAATATTATTTTAATAAGAAAAAGAGCTATATATTTATACTATTGTATTAAAATCTAATATTCTTCAATTTTTAAATTCATAATCGATTCGTAAATCGTCTCTGTGTGTATATTTTCTTTCATTAAAATTAAAAGAAAGTAATTAAAAAATTGAGTAAAAAATAATTCATTAAAAGCTAATATAATTATTAATATATTATTATATAATAATTCATGCAAAATTAACATAAAATAATGTACATATAATAATTAAGAAGAAAAATAATACAAACTACATATGTGGACTGAAAGGAATGGAAAACCTAAATATATATATATATATATATAAGCATAAAATATATTTATGCTTATATTTAGGTTTTTTATACAGAATAGTCTTGTGTATATAAATATTTTTATTTTTAAAGTATATTCTTTTTAACACACACACACATACACAAATTCCGCGTATAAACATATAAAATATCTTTCATAAATATAATCAACGAAAGTGCTCGTGAACTGGCAATTGCTGTGATGATTAAGCAACATCATTATCTAACAACTTCCATTTTGACCTTCCGTATAGGCAACAAAATTGGTCGACTATCAACAAGATCCATTAGCATAATCTCACTTTCGCA